GTGAAGAATAAGTAAGGGGGCTATCGTGGCCTATTTAAATAAACTGTCCAGGGATTCGCCTGGAAAATTAAGTATGTGGAAAAACAATAATGATAACCGGTACCTGGATCTAGATTCGAACCGGGTATGACCCAATATAGCGAGTTGTGAGATCCGACTTTACGGGAAAAGCATCCGACTCCTCTGCCATGGTCGCCCGGCTTGTGTGGAAATGCAGGGGTGTAACTTCCAGAGTTCAGGCGTTTGTGTGCTGAATGGCGGAGGTGGGGCGAGGCCCTTAGATAGGATATATATATATATGTATATGGGTAGAATTAAAGGTAATGTTATCACTCTAAGCATCGTACCATTAAGATGTAGAGGGGCGTGGAGGGATATAGGATTTGAAGTTCTCACAGCCGTGGTTCTAGAATGTAACACTGTGTAGTCCGTTGAAATACAACCGACGTTTCGGAGGGACATATCGCCTCCATCTTCAGGATGGAATAAGTCGAGAAAGATATCAGCATTCTTCGGCTTGCTACCTACTTTCACGCTGGTATCTTTCTCGGCTTATTCCATCCTGAAGATATAGGCGATATGTTCCTACGAAACGTCGGTTGATTTTCAACGGACTACTCCGCGTTATATCCCTCATCAGTAGGGATATAGCTCAGAATATACTTTAACCGTTTTCAGCATCACGCTCCGGTAGCTTTATCCCTGTGGATACAGCTCCACGTACAAATCATGTACGAGTCTGCGTGGGATCCAGAACCGAACTAGACTTTCTTTAGGAGAGATGTAATTCTATTCGTGCTCAAAATCGTTCACCGATTGGCCGGTCGTTCTACTAGGAGCCTAGTTATCACGCCTCTGGTTGTTACGCGTGGGATCTTCACAGTGTGTAAAGTGACTGATATCTGTGATCTTTGGTGTGATGTGTTGAAGGAGGTATAAGCACAGAGTTGCATCCAGTGTTCTGCGAGTGATGAGTGAAACGGACACGTGGTTATGTCCTGTGCTCCAGTTATTGCATTATTATTATACGGCTTAGAGTTCTGGTTTATTTAACACTGCAATGAAGGTAAGCTGATTACTGCGATCAAGTTAATTTAATTTACAAACCTGTTCGTATACATATCATTCGAGAATTTCGCACTGTGTAGTCCTGTTGGAAGAAAAGCGGAAAGTACTGCTTCAGGATGGAGTATTTGTGCTTTTTTGATAATTTTTTTCTTACTTTTCTTATTTTTAGGCTTTGGATTTGATTTTATTTCGGACGGAAATTTATTATTATAAATGTAGAATTTGGAGTTCTCACAGCGATAGTTATGAAGTGTTCTGTGTCTGAGGCATAACGCCATGTAATATGTTGGAAGTTAACCCACGTTTCGGAGGAATATATCGCCACTATATCCAGGGTCGAGGAACTTTTATTATTACAAAGCTTATCACACAACGGATACATACTGCAGTGAGTCATATTTTCAGTATGTCGTTAAATATAAAAGGCATCGAAAAATGTTTAAGTTATAAGTTGTAGACTTTACTGGGAACTTATATCTTGGGACATAACAATTTCGTTTCGATATTTTTGTTTTATTTTACTACATTCGTTGAGTTTTATTTTGACCGTTACAAAGACTGATATCGTATCCTTAGTGCATACAATTTCACTTGTCACTTCACACTACATGTTTCGGCATCATTCTGCCATCCTCAGGTGTATTAATCACGTTAAACCATTGTACTGCCTGCCATCAAGTGTCCATTTATAAAATGACATAAAATGTGTTTTCGTCGTTGTTCAATAATAAAATTTTAAAATTTATATACTAAAACTTGCCAAGATCTATCATCTTACATGTCGTATATCAAACTCGTTTGTAATGCCATTCATCCGCTATGGGAGTCGTTCTTCTTATGTTTTAATTGTGTATATACTGTGTCTTATGATGTTCCCTTCTTATGTGGCTGTGTGCGTTTTATTATTATTACATTATTAAAAGACCGATATATCTGACAGCTTGTTGCAGCTGTCGATATTCTGTATGGAGTACACAGTCCGAGACGCATTTGGGAACATTACTTCGCAAGGATTTGTTCTATATAGGCCGGGGTAGCGCAGCCGATAGAGCGAAACGCCGCTTCCAACAGTACTTCCATCGTTGACTAGCAACGGCTCCGGTACTTTTGCGTATTTACGAAGCTGTTGCCTAACAATAGCCGTTGCCCTGTTTGTTTCGCAATCGTTGCCTAGCAACGGGTCTGTATTCCACAATATTTTAATCTTCTCATGACTGTGAGTCATGCGACTCTCTCATCCAGAACTTATCCAGTCGGGGTACTTTTATCCGGTGGTAAAGCGGCAGGAGCGTTTATCTTTCTACACATCTCCATCTGGTGCCTTGGTTATAAATGTGTGGATGGATATTTAATCGCTTGTTACAAGAGTCTTCAATTGCTAGGCTGTATACTGTCGAATTGTAGGATGACTGTCGAATAAAGAATTATAAAGGGTTTGAGAGGAAGCGTTCGTGGTCTGTTCTAGTTCATGTTTCGGCTTTTGCCTGAACGCGCTCAGGGAAGCCACGAAAACGTCACTCATGATATCTTGATATCCCAGCAGATATTTGAACCGAACACCTTCAGAATTCGTGTCAGCAGGGTTACCGTCACGTCAACCCGATAGGTGGAATACATGGAGCTATCCCTCCACTTCTCGATTCGTTTTCATGGCATTGTACTTATTTAATTAAGTACATGGATAGCTTCATACAATTTTTACAACTTATTTCTATATTGTATAGTGGACGCAGTTGAAACCCCGTTTTTATATAACAGAGCCAGGACTACGGGCTGAACGGCTGGGGTTCGATTCTCGGCAAGGAAAACAAATTTTTCTTCTACTCATTATGTCCAGACCGGCTTTGGTGCTCACCCAGCCTCTTGTTCAGTGGGTAGTAGGTCTTTTCTCCAGGAGTTAAGCGGCATGAGCGTGAAGCTGACCACTCACCTCCATTAAATGTCGAGGTGAAAATGGTGGAGTTATACCTCCCCTTCTCCGTTGTCTGCATGGCGTGGTGCTTAATTAAGTACAGATACTTTAATTTTATCATTCAATCTACCATCATGCGGTTGAGAAAGCGTTATTAAATACAAGAAAACTTACTTAACTACTGACATCTGCAAGTTTTGAACATGCATTGCTGAAGTTAAGAGCCGATGAATAAGGAACTGCAACAAACACCCTTTCTCATACTAAAGCTAATTACTACAGGCTAACTAATACTTTACATCCTATGTTGCGAAATCTCGCCTTTGTGGCTGAGGTGAGGCCTATTTGTGGAACCCCCCTCCTTCTCCTCCTTATCCCCTCCCCCCCTTCAAACCATGGCCACCCAGATGTACAGGTCAGTAACACTCTAATGCCTGAAATATGTATATAATCAGTCTAAGCGGTGTACAGTTTGCTCTACTGTTTCTTCATTGGTCGTTGTCTTGTTTCCATGGTTACGACAAGACCAGAAGATTAAAGGTAATATTTCAGTTAGTGCCAGCTTTAGCGGATAGAGGGTGTCGCGTGGTCAGCGCAACGAATCACCATGGCCGTTAATTTCGGCTATTTCTTTGAAATATCTCCTCAATTATCCTCACGAGGCTATGACGCGGCCTTCCTTTTGGCTTTCTCAACAAAATTGTACGTGCATTCCTCTTATCCACTTTCCTGCTACATAGCCGATCCATCTCATCCTCATTGACTTGATCATTCTAATTATACTTGGCAAAGAGTACAAGTTATGAAGCTTCTCGTTATGCAGTTTTCTCCAGCCTCCCGTCACATCATCCCTCAGGAGTCCAAACATTCTCCTCAACACACTGTTCTCAAACACTCTCAGTCTATGTTCCTCCCTCAATGCCAGAGACCAAATTTCACACCCACACCAAACCACAGGCAAAATTATAGTTCTGTGTATTCTAATTTTTACGTTTTTAAACAGCAGAGTAGAAGACAAAATATTCTGGACTGAACGGTAACAAGCATTACCCAAATTCAATGTGTTTTAATTTATTATTATTATTATTATTATTATTATGCTACTCTAACCAGAACGTTTCAAATTCATAGCATGCATATTTAGTGAAAGTGACCTCAACATATTCCCCAGGGGCTGTAAAGTGTAAGATTATACCACTTGAAGAGTTATTTGTGGAAACCGTATCTGGAGACGGCATTTCTCAAACATTCCTGGCAAATTTTCCATGGGCAATCCTCACTTTGGAGCCTCTCAGTTACAATACAATTTTTTTTTATTCGTGTGGCCTTCATAAATACAGTTCTTTCGCTCTAGCAGTGAGCTTAGTAGGTATATGTACAGTCGTAAGTTCATTCTCGTCCGTTGTAACTGTGCAGTCTTCCAGTTGAATTTTCAATGAAATCTTCATTATTTCCTCTGAATCCTATTTCAAAATTGAGTTCCTACCTCACAGAGAACACATCACTTGTTGAGAATCGTGGACTCAGCGCGACGCGTTAACGCACTCATTGCCAGCGACGTTACCCCGGAAACGTTACAGTGTCAGCTCAGGTACCGTAGCTTAGTAACGGCGAGTAAACAGTCGTTGCTATGTAAGGTTTCCAACAACAGTGGATCGTGTAAACAGTTGTTGCTATGTAAGGTCTCCAACAACAGTAGATCGTCTGCTAGCACGCAAGCTAGAAACCGTTCGCTGCCTAGCAACGGCTGAGCAAACAGCTAGGTAAAGACTGCAACAATACGTACAGTGACATGTTTTCTATAGGTCCGACTCTAGGATATATAAGAAGATACATTGAGTGGGAACCGCAGTTTGAGCTCGACACCAAGATTGACTGTCTGACTCACAGATCGTCAGTCGTAGTGTGACTTTGACTTGAAGTTTACGGTTCTAGTTCAGAGTTGAGTTTCAGTACAACGTTGAAAGTGTTACAGAGTTTACTATTGTTATTATATTATTAGTGTCAAGGAGAGAGGGAAATGGCAGCTATTACTGAAATGGGAGACGAGATTGTGGAGCATGAACAACGAAGCAACTGTTTTTGCAAGACAAGTACCATAATGAAGTTTGGTAAACAGAACGGTGCTAATGACATCGGCATAACAGATCACATACTTAGCAATGACATTTCAAGTGTCAATAGTAATCAGTTAAATGGACCAGAATTGACAGCAATAGCAACTTTTACCACCGGAAGCAGTGAACCGGAAGTTCGGGATACTCATGTTCCGACGCCGATTGCTGCAGAGAATGCGGATTTCCTTAACGGACCTGACCAAGTGCTTCCAGCAACAGGATTGTCTACATCGAACGTCAATGGCCGAGTTAAAATACGATTTGAAGACAGAGGTATGGGCGCCAGGGAACCCATCTCTGTACCTGGACTTTTGTACAAGATAGCTCAAGAGTACCCTGATCATCCAGCACTTGTTTCCAAACGCGAAGATGGTCAGTGGAAGGAAATGACTTATAAAGAATATGAAGTTTCTGTGAGGACATGCGCAAAAGGATTCCTGAAGCTTGGGCTGATGCGAAATCATTCTGTCTGCATCTTGGGCTTCAATTCACCAGAATGGTTCTTTTCTTATTTGGGTGCTATATATGCTGGTGGCTTTGCGGCAGGAATTTATACAACAAATTCATCAGAGGCTTGCCATTACTGTGCTGTAAGAAGCCTCGTTAATATTATTGTAGTGGAGGACAAGAAGCAGTTGGATAAAATTCTGGACTTCAAAGACAAGCTTCCGGAGCTTAAAGCTATAGTGCAGTACCATGACAAACCCGAAGTTGAAGGAGTTATCAGTTGGGAAGAACTGATGAAGATTGGGCGTGGAGAGCCAGACGTACATCTGAACAACGTATTGAAAACGATTGGCGTCAATGAATGCTGCTCACTTGTATTCACTTCTGGGACAGTTGGTAACCCAAAAGCTGCCATGTTGAGCCATGACAACTTTACATGGAATGCGGAAACCGTTCTACAATATATGGGAATTTCCAAAGGAAAAGAAGTCCTTGTTAGTTTCCTGCCACTTAGTCATGTAGCAGCACAGATTTTGGACATTCACATTTCTATTACAGTTGCAGCAACGGTCTACTTCGCTGACAAAGATGCCCTTAAAGGAAGTCTGGTGAAAACTCTTCAGGAGGTTCGTCCTACTCGGTTCCTTGCTGTACCTCGAGTCTGGGAGAAGATTTATGAGAAGATGCGAGAAATTGGTAGGCAGTCAGGTGTAATTAAAAGAGCTATTGCAACTTGGGCAAAGGGACATGGACTTCGGCATTACCTTAATAAGATGAATGGAATTGGCAGCAACACGTTTTCATACATGTTAGCCAAAAGACTCGTATTCTCTCGAATCAAGAAAGCCTTGGGTTTGGATCGCTGTGTCACTGCACTCTCAGGAGCTGCACCAATCTCTGTTGACGTCAAGAAATACTTCTGGAAGATTGACATTCAACTTATGGATGCATTTGGAATGACGGAAACCACTGGAGGACACACATTCAATATTGAGAGGGAATTTAGGTTAGAGGCTGCAGGAAAGGAAAGAGATGGTGTTTACTCCAAGATTATGTATGCTGATGAAGATCAACAGGGAGAAGTGTGTATTAATGGGCGGCACGTTTTCATGGGCTACCTGGACGACCCTGAAAAGACTTCTGAAGTTTTTGATGAGGAAGGATGGCTTCATACAGGAGATCTTGGAAAGATTGATGAAAATGGTTTTCTATATATCACTGGCAGGATTAAGGAGCTGATTATCACAGCTGGAGGCGAGAACATTGCACCTGTTCTGATTGAAGAAGAAGTGAAAGCTCAACTTCCATGCATCAGCAATGCAATGCTCATTGGAGACAGAAGAAAATTTCTTTCAATTCTTCTCACATTAAAGACTGAAATGAATTTAGAGACTGGTGAGCCTCTGGAAGAATTAGCACCAGTCACAAAGCAGTGGTGTAAGGAGCTCGGTTTGAAAGCTAGTACTGTGAAAGATATTCTGAATGGACCAAACGAACAGGTCATGGATGCAATACAGAAAGGCATTGATCAAGCAAATGTCAAGGCAATATCCAATGCACAACGGGTACAGAAGTTCCAGATACTTCCTCGTGACTTCTCAGTTCCTACCTGTGAGATAGGGCCAACAATGAAAGTAAAACGTAATGTTGTATTAAAGAAATATGCAGACATCATTGAAAGGTTCTACCAAGAAACAGAACAAAGATAATAGCAGAACCTCCTTACCATATGCCCACATAAAGCAATCGGTACTTTCAGTGATCCTCTAGGCAATGGAATACTATAATTTTGTTTTGCTGGGATTCCATTCCAAAATAAGGAACAAAGTAGTTTATTGTATTACGTATTTATTTCTTATGTGCTTACAACATTTCTTCCAGCTATCATGATAAATTAGTGTTAGAGACATTGGACTATACTATCTAGACATGAGCCTTAGTATGTTGAAGTGGTATGAAATGTTTATATAGGAACCAAGACGCTCTTGTTACATATATTTTATTAAAATTAAGACTGTAATGTATAGCAAAGTTGGTGATAAATAATAAATATTTTTTTCTGAGTTCTACTTAGTTTATCATGCATATTGTGACGTATTGCGCTATGCAGGACATCCCCTCCCCCGCCAGCGGTGACGTAACAACATCGGGCGCTGTCGCTACTACGGTAACAGGCCAGTCAACACTCCGCACCCCTCCCCCACGGTGACGTAGCGGGGGATGCCGCGGTTGCTATGCAGCAGTAAACAACTCTCGACAGCGTTGCCCAGCAACACCTGTAAACACGGCGAATAGGCAACAAGGAAGCGAGGCGTTTTCCCGTTGTCCTAGAGTCGGACCTATAGGAAACAGGTCACTGTTCGTATTGCTGCAGTCTTTGCCTAGCTGTTTACTCAGCCGTTGCGAGGCAGCGAATGGTTTCTAGCTTTCGATTGGCTAGCACACGATCCATTGTTGTTGGAGATATTACATAGCAGCAACTGTTTACTCGCCGTTACTAAGCAACGGTACCTGAGCTGTCACTATAACGTTTCCGGGGTTATTCGCTGGCAACGAGTGCGTTATCGCGTCACATCGCTTCTTCAGTGCAAAGCCCAGTCAGTTAATGCTGAATGTCCAAAGTAATTACAGTGTATCGATGTTGTCCCCGCTATGGGGGGGGGGTGTTTACCGAACGTTCCGCCGTCCACGTCACACTATCAATACAATTAGAAACCACTATTACAATATGTTTAGTGAATATTAGTATGTACGTACAGTGTCATCATAGTACAATATACAAATCTAATGTTTTTTAACAACACAGCGCGCCGCGAACATCAACAAGACGACACTAAAGAAATCTGTTCCCCAAACAACGGAACCGCGGGACGGTGGACGCTTGGCTTCCTTCGGGGAGAGGAAAGAGAAGGGACATGAACCAATTTGGTTTACAATTTTTAACATTTTTATTAACTGTAATATATATTTTAACGTATTGGTACATGCCGCTGTAGTTGTTAAAAAAACGTTAGATTTGTACATTGTACTATGATGACATTGTATGTACATATTTATATTCTCAAAACATATTGTAATAGTGGTTTCTGATTATATTGATATCCTTCTGAATATGGTCTCTAGGACCGAAACATGTAAAGGATAAAATATTAAAAAAAACTGTCAGTCACACTGTACGGAATTATTTAACGTTTTGTAATGTAGGATTTGATGTTTTCACTGCAGTAGTTATGAAGAATTCCATCTTCTGGGATAAAACGCCGTGTAGTCCGTAGAAAGCCAACCGACGTTTCGGAGGGTCATGTAGTCTCCGTTTTCAAGGTCTAAGGTAAACCAAGCAAGATACCAATATAAATCAGGCGACAAACAAACGTTTCAACGAACTACAGCTGAGGCCAAGAAAGGTTGAGCTATACTTCCACTCCTCCATATGTCTTCGTGGCATAGTGCTTGACTAATTAAGGCAGCGTTATATTCCAGAAGTTAGAAACACTGAACTGGTTCTCGGTCCGTCTGCAGGGAGATCGCAACTAATGTTTTGGCCGGCCCTGGACTATACAATTTCTCTGCGCAGTTGGATAACCATCATTCCAGGGACGTATTTGATATCGCTGTGTGCCTGGTGTTCAGTTTCTTACGGACGTTGCTGCAGTGGTGGTAGCAAGTTCGGATGGAGTAGAAACAGGTGCATAGTAATTACTTGTCTCGCCCACTCATTCAGTCAGTTACTAATTAACAAACTAATTACTTTCCCGCCTGGCTCAAGGTTATAACTCGGTTGGCCGGCGCCGTCAAGGGCAGCAAGAATACCTGATCACAGTTTGTCTGTTGTTATTCATCACCGTACAGTATTTGAGACATAAAAGTGATTTTTTAAAAATATCTATTAATATTTGGTATATTTTCTCTTTTTCCCAAAAGTTTAAGAATATCAGAGACCTGGCTTACGCCCTTCCTCCCCGCAAGTGCCCATGATTCAGGGTCGAGAAAGTATGATTATCGTTCCTAATATCACATCCACTTACGTGGTCTCTTTCCTTCTTGCTTCCCCCTCAGTATCTCATATGTATTTCTCTTCACTCCATTCGTGCTACGTGCCATGCCCACCTTATTCACCTTGCATTTTATGTTGTAAATAACGAAATGCAATAATAATTTATAACTACATCTGTGACATGATTAGCTTTATGGTGAGAGAGTTGTGTGTACAGGAAGCGAACCCCGGCCCAGCCAATGTGATATGCAGAATATCATCAGAGGGTTCATTCGTGTACTGAACGCAAGCACTGCCAACACTGCTGGATAAGTGAACTGCAGTACACCTTTCCGTGTCGTTTACCGAACGTCGCTGTAGAGTTAATAGGAGTCATTCGTATTCTGGAGGCTCCGGGTTCATTTCTCAGCCAGTAAGCAGGTTGTTCTGACGTAGGATTTCCGTTATTTTCTTCAGTCCTTCCTGGTAAATGATCGAAGTTAGGCCAGGATTTTTTCCTTCCACATCCTCCCCAATCCTTCACTTCTAATATCGTTTTCGTTTTTTCACTTCTCATTGCCTTTCTTTGTCAATATTTTACAAGGTCTTTCCTCTGTTCTTTATGTCTGCCTGTACCTTGCAGGACCATTTTGTTCTGGGTCGTCCCAAAGGTTTCTTTCCCCTAAATGTTAATTCTAATACCCTTCTTGGTATTATGTTACAAGCCGGAAGGTCGCGGGTTCGATTCTTGATGAGGTCATTTGATTTTTCAATTGATCTAATCCTTCCAGCCGCACTGTGACCCTGGGGTCGACTCACCCTCTCACAGAAATGCGTACCGGGGATCTTCCTGCAAGTAAAGGGCGGCCGGCCGGCGTGTAAGGCTGACAACCTCACCGCCATCTGTGAGCCGATTATCTAGAAAATGTGGGAGCCTCGACGTCTCACAATCCTGTGGGCCTCAACGGCCTGTTATAGTTATGACTTTGCGTTTTTTACTGCAAAATTTAAGTCAGGAGATTGGGACTAGCACTATCTATTGGACCCAACTGGAGACGGAGGCAGGATCCAGTCTCCGAAATGGATTGGCATGGCTATAGTGCTCTATGTTCATACTTTGGAGGTGCTTGCTTCGGGTCTCGTTCGATTCATAGCTTTCCCTAAGTGACGTTCTTCGTTTTTTCAGCCCCTCCAGGCAAATACCTTGATAGTACCACGTTCTACCAGATGCTTTTCAATTCATGATTCATCTGTCATCTCACTATTCGGTGCTGTGTAGTCTAACTTTGACAGCGTCGTAAAACAATTCATAACAACTCTTCCTTTTTTATTGCTAATGGGGTGGGACTAAGTTCCTTGTACTGCGGCCACTTCTGGCCTATTGTACCAGCCCCAGATGATAGGTCAGGGTGATTGTGGAGCAATGGTGGAATGAAGATTGGCAGAGGAAACCGAAGTACTGGGAGAAAACTTTCCCCAGCGCCACTTTGTCCAATACAAATCCCACTTTACCAGACCCGGGATCGAACCCGGGCCACCGCTGTGGGATGCCAGCGACTAACCCCTTGAGCTATGGCGCGGCCCTACCACTCTTCCTTTCTGAGATTCGAACCTGTCACCTCATGAATACAAAGCCAAGGCCTTATCGCTGAGATAGCGTGTTCGATGCTCCTTGCGCTCCGCAGTTTAATCATATTAACAGCGTTAAGTGTGAAGCAGGTTATCAGACGGTGTCATTTTGGAGAGGCGCTGCGCTCGAGGTTATGTTTGTGTAGATGTTATCTGCCTGTTCAAGGAACGTGTCAATATTCTTATCAGTACATTGCACGTACATTTAAATGCCAAATTGAATTACTGTATTAAAATGTTTGTTGTAAACTGTAGTAATTATCGTGGGATATCACTACTATCAACTTAATACAAAATTCTATCCAATATTCTTCTCTCAAGGTTAAATCAGTACATAGATGAAACTATTGGGGATCATCAGTGTGGATTTCCACGAATCCCCACGGCCGATAATTTCGGTTTTGTAGACTGGAGCCTCTATTTCCTTGAAATAGCTCCTCATTTATCCTCACGAGGCTGACTGGACCCCGTTCCAGACCCAATATTTCTCAGAAAATCTGGTAGCGCCGGGAATCGAACTCGGACTTCTGCATCTGTAGCCAGGAACTCTGACCACTAGACCACAGTCCTAGCTCAAATTTATCTTTGCTTTTCGATTATGTCAGCGTATAGTATTGTAGGTGGACACAAACTTTCGGAGGAATAATCTGCTTCCATCGTCATGATCGAAATCAATATGTTAAGGATACCAGCATTTATTTAAACATGTTTGCACAGAAGGTGCAAAGGAAACCCGACCATGACCTGTGTAAACTACAGGATATCATACCCGTTTCGACCCTATTGAGGGAAGTAACATTTTTGTTGTTGTTGTCTCTGCATTGTATGACAACGCAGAATACGCACTGTCATCAAAGCCTGACAGATGATTACACAACGCACCGCTCACAATGGTGACATAAAGAACTTATCAGAATAATTCAACTGAGCTGTGTATGAACCCATAATTAATAATGGAAGCCGGGGTAGCTGAATCGGTATAGAGACGGGCTACGGGTTGGATGGCCGAGGTTCGATTCCCTCTAGGCGTAAGGCACATTTTCCTCTTCATAATGTCCCGATCAAATTTTGGGCCCACCCGGCGTCCTGTCCAGTGTGTACCGGGGGTGAACCGGTCGGAGAGTGAAGCCGCCCACTCACCTCCATCTAGTGTCAAGGTCAAGAATGGTGGAGTTATATCTTCACTTCCTCATACGTCTTCATGGCGAGGTGCACAGGGTCAACTTTATCTTA